ATACAACTACAAAAAACATATTGTACACCATTTTTGGCAATTCCATTTTTGGCCCGCTGTACTTCAATTTTTGTCCTTATAAGAGTCGACGCAAAGGGGTATGTAATTCAACAGAATAAAATCACAGCAAAAATTGTTGATGAAAATTCATTTCAATAGATTTCTCTTTCAATGATTTATGCCATTCTGCGAAGCTTCCTTCTGAAAACGGCTTGAGCTTCTCTTATCGCCAAATCGCTTGCATTCTACCAAGGGAACGATCCCAACTTAAAGGCATGTCCGAAAACTCGATTTTGAGATTTTGTGCTTGTACGGGCCTATTTTCCATGTTGAATCCGAAAAGTCTAACTGGAAAGCGCGAAAACGGCAAAGAAAGGGCTCTAACGGGAGGGAAACAGCAATTGGGAGGTCCTCCCCACTGTAAATTCATGCTCATAGCTTCCGAACGGTCTTCTCGATTCCTCTAGCCATCCTAAGATCTCTACCGGCCAAATGCGATTGACTGACTAGAAACCAGAAGCGAGAAGATCGCTTCGGAAGCTGGAAGCGTGAATTCACTGTGGGGAGGACTCCGCCCACCTGCTTATTTCTTTGCTGTGTTAGAGACGTTTTTTGCCATTCTCGCGCTCTCCAATGTACATTTTCGGATACAGCGTAGCGAATAGGTCCGGGTAAGCACAAAATCTCTAAATCGAGTTTTTTCCCGGACACTGCCCTTAAGGTGGACAATCAATATGAACCGCATATCATTAGATGTGTTTTGCTGAGCTGATTCTCAATCTAACTTCCATATCTGCAATCGTTATCTGGAAAAAGTTGTAAACGTTTAAATGTTCAATTTATTATCTAGTACCACACTAAAAATTAATGGTTAAAAACACTAATCTGTGTCTGCGGTAAATGTGAGCATCTTGAAATCAATGCACACAATATCTTGCTAATTATACTTTTGAGTTGGATTCTAAACCATCATGCACTAGAGCTCCAAGATTTTACACATTCAGATGCGGTTAAATGTGTGAAGCCACTAGATTCCTGACGCATGATGAGGTTTGATCCAATTTAAAAGCGCATGATTTGCAAGGAATTGAGCGTACTGTTTTCAAGGAATGCACATTTACCACAGAAGCAGATAAGTGTTTTTAGCCACTAATTCTTTAGGGTGTAGCGCTGAATGTTTGAAAAATTTGAACATTTGAACGTTTATAACATTTTTAAAGAGGCATCGCAGATATAAAAAATTTGGAATCAGCTCAGCAAGGCGCATCTAATGATATAGAGTCCAGTCCAATTCGCCACCTTAAGTTGGGATCGTTCTCTGTTGAGCTGCAAATTGATTTCCACAAAAAGGATGCGGCTCACTAGAACTCTTGCTAAGCATAGTACATTTAATCTGGTCATCTGAACGTTTTCGAGTGTTTTCCGGCCATAGTTATTTATGCAACCTTTTCTTTCTGAACTGCACTTCTACTAAAAAATACGAAAAAGAGCATTACTTTCTTTGGAGAAACGCTTCGCAGATATAAAAGTCAGCACTTCGAGCTCCGTTATATTGGTATGCATCAATTTTCAAATCGCCACTTCGACTAAGTGATCCCTGGCAAGAAGCACTTCTCTTGTCTGTCTATATAGTATTCGTAGTTCCCACAGCTTTTTCTTCTCATCGTTGAAAAATCACCATTCAAGCAGTAGCCTTTTTAGTTAATGGTAGGGGAAATAAAGCGATTGTTCGGAAGGGAACTATCGAAGAATGTGCGAGCCAGAGAGCGCGCCTGGAGAAGAAGCGGCAGAGCTTTGGAGGATCTGACCGTCCTCTGTTTGTATGCATGTTTGTCTGTATGTGTGTACGTATGTGCAGATTAGAAATTTTTATTTCTGAATCGATTCGAACCAGGCTTGGCACACGTATACTTCGAGGACGGGTAGGGGGACGTGTCATAGACTGCTTTCCATTATCGATCGGTATCGATTTTATCGATTTTTCTGCAAAGTTTAAGCTACGGGGCTGGGAGCTGGCACGGAGGGGGAGGGGGGGGGAGGTAAGTGAGCATGCTGAATACTAACATAGCGGGAATAGGGAACTGGCATGTAGAAGGCACAGGGAAAGGTTATACAGGGATAGGGATAGAACCTTTATCATAGTCTTTTGACAGGGTCGAGCGGAGCCGGGTATGCCAGCTACAGTCTGCTCCAATTGGGATCAGGCCAACCGTCGCCGTGAATTTGCGCGCTCGCAGCGCTAGCGGTCTGCGCTTCATAGACGCACTGTCGGAGAGGGCAAAAGGATTGAGGAGAGAGCAGAGAAGCAGGCCGTGGGCGTGACCGCGAAACCCTAGCGACGCGGACTCCCGCCATGCCAATTTTGGCCTGGTTAAGATTGGGGCAGACTGTAGTTGGAAAAATCTGCCCGGTCAAAAAAACGCACAAGCTCTTGAGCGATCCACAGATGTGTCAGCCGCAAATTGTAAAATCGACCATTTATCAATTGCAATAAGAGCGCTGACCGAAGTTGTGCATGGTTCCTGGATAAAATCGTCAGCCAACTTTTGCGTAAGATCCCCACTCATTTGCCGAATACCAATTGCTTCTTTGAGAAATACGCAGTGAGTTTCGAGCAACTTGTGTAATCAAATTTTTGGCGGAGTTATATACTAATGGACGTTTTAAAGCAGATTCTAAGCTCCCCAAAACTGCAGACTCAGTAAAGTGTGCATCATTACCCTTAACAAGGAAAGCCTAAGATGTGATATCTTTAGATGACTGGGCAGATTTTATGCACAACTAAGAGGGCTGGCGAGGAGACAAAGACCAGCTCCGGTCCTTGCTAATTGCTTCATGAGCAAATAGAAGAATCCATCTACGCGAAATCCCTTTTGTGCTGCCTTTATATAGACGATTGTGACTCAATCCAAAATGGATGAATGCTACGAGATCCTCAAGGGGCAATTGTAACAGTAGCTTGACCAGAGAGCAACCACACGATGACTGGTTACCCTTTCTTAACACCTAGCGATGCAGGTTAACGCTAACGTACACACGGTAATCCGCAACATGTTTGAAGCAGCAGGCGGCTCAAGCGGCGGAGACTCATTTCCAACAACGGTTACCCACAAAAGCTTCAGCGAGCACACATGAACACATGCATCATAAATACAAGACGTTCGTCTGTGCTTCACGTTCATATCCCAGAGTGTATTCAATGCACTCAAACGATGTATACCGCGAGCGCAGCTGGAGAATGAGGGTTGTGCTTTACCAGTTGGAATGTCAGACACGCCGAGCCATCTACATCGGCGAGACGAAACGACCACTTTTAGTGTGTGTGCCACTTCCAAAATATGAAGGTCATAAATGTCGAGAAACTCGACCGATATCTTTTGATCCTATATTCTAAAATTCTACATATCTTACTTTGGAAGTGTTCAAGCGCAGCAGCTAGTCTTTTTTCCGTATGCTTCAGACTGCAGCTGCATGTATGAAAAAGGAGCGAGAAATTCGCAGCTGGTAATCTCCTCCTTACGATGAATCGCGCGTCACTGTTCATCGTTTGCTTCATGCAGTTAGTCCTGCTTTCTAGATTTACTTAGTATTATTGCCATAATCACATTGACTTTCAGTTCATTTAGGTCAAAAATATCAATCTTTTTTATTACTAACATTTGCCATAATCAGAATCTCATATTAAGCTGGTATTATATTTTGCGTGCAATATATCGTTTATTTGAATTTTATAATTGTTAATAAAGGTATAATTACCCAAGTTTGAGGTATCTGCTCGTGCACAACTCCGTCACTCTAAAGACCCGCGTGGCAGTTGATATTTTATTGGCGTTATCAAGTGGTATTCGACGGTTATAACTATATATATATAACCCGTCTCCATTTGTTACATGGTGCATCGACTACACGGATTCAGGTCGGTGAAGTACAACAATTGATTCGTTGTGGACATTCTGGAACATACACTAGAGCTTTTGCTGTATCCGCTCTAGTTTGCTGTCTTCAAATCTTGAACAACACAAGAGTTTTGCCTGATCCGCTCTTGTCACATCAATATCGACAAATTGAAGAATTTTTCGCACAAGACTGACCACTCCTGAAGTATCATATCTACTGAAGTTTGAAAACTTTTCGTGTCTGTCCTGAAGCATTCTTGGTCACTGCAATTGATTATGGCTGCACATTTGATCACGGACAAACGCCTTTTGACTCACTATTGCAACAAGCTGGACACTATCATCTCAAGATTCAAGAGAGAGGAACTTGAGACCCTTAACGTAGCCGCAGCGCAAGGAATCAGCTTCTCAATACACAAGGGAAAGTCTCCAGCGACTCAGCGAAGCAATAGGAGCTTTAGATGCAGTGACGCATAACATCAAACAAACAATGACGGACTATGCTACCAAATTTACGGAGCTGGACTACCCGACGGAAAAGGACAAACAAGACTTCGAGGAATACTCAGCAAAAGCGGAAAAAGCACTCATTTCGGCCACGGATTACTCACTAGTGCTGAAGGCAAGGGTTCACGCTTTCACTGTGGTTAAAGCAGAGCCCGAACACAAACACAGTGGATCAGTCCAGGTACAAACGACATCACTGCCTCCGCATGAAAGATTGGACCTTCCCACACTTCCTGTACCTACATTTCAAGAAAACATATGGGAGTGGGACAATTTCTGGGAACTGTTCAACGAGAATGTCCATTCAAGAAATATACCGGAGTTGTGCAAATTTAATTATTTACTGCAAGCTCTTCGAGGAGATGCTCTCGCACTAATCAAGAAGTTCCAAGTCGCTAAAGGAAATTATTCAAAAGCCATCGAGTTTCTTTAACACAAGTACGGTGATCGCGACGAACTCGTCACGCATCTCATTGAAAAACTCGGGAAGGCCACCTGCACTCGGCATCCATTCGTGACCAGCGAACACTTTTCGAGCAGCTGCAAGTCATCATCATGCAGCTGCGATAGAAAGAAGTACAAGTGGACAACCAGTGGATGTACCAGCAAGTTCTGACGAAATTCCCAGATACGGTACAGCGCAAAGTACTAGTACGTAAACAAGCCGCAAAGAGCTCTGGAGTCAGCTTTAACCTCGATCTGCTTATACAGTATCTTGAGGAAGAAATCTCCACAGACGAAATGCTTGCGGTGTACATGAAGAACGCCAAGCCGGATCCAACACCTACCAAGCCGGAGAAAAGACGATCTGACCGAACAAAAACGTACTCAGGGACTTGCATGTATTGTGAGGGAAGCCACAAGCCAGCGGATTGCAGAAGATACAGTACTCCACAAGAACGCTCCAACTACCTACGCGAGAACAAGCTCTGTCTCATCTGTGCCTCAGCACAGCATTCAACTTCCAACTGCAAAAAGCGGATGTGCTTCCGGTGTGGAGGGCCACATCACACATCATGTTGCTTCAGAGGTGACCCTGCAGAAGACAAAGGAAGGCCGAAGAACACAAGTTTACCAATGAGCAGAGCGGCAAAACATAGTACAAGGGACTCGGAACGACCTCCAACACATAGCAAAGCAGCAAAGATGAATGCGGTCAGCGAAGACAAATTCAGGCAAAAGGTCAATCCTGCACCAAAGCTACAGTCACACGAGAGGAATGACAGTTCGGCGAAATGGGAGGCTGCTTGCACGAAGCATAACAGCGTAGATGTACTTACCCTGCTCACGTCCAGTGCACAACCAGGCGAGAAGGAAACAGTACGACAAGCGGCCAAGCATGCTTCATAAAATGCTACGAAGGTCGGAGCACGAGCACTACCTAAGCCTGCAGCTCTTCCGAAACCAAAAAGCAATACCGCAAAAGCCAAACTCCCTGCCGTGAAACGTCCCGCTGCGGTAACAGGACTTGCGAAGTCTTTGCGACCCACACCTGAAGCAAAGAATACAAGGCACGAGTACAAAAATGGTAACCCGCACACTCGCTATGGTATAACTTTACAGACTGCTCCCATTCGTCCCCTTTATCCTGATGCACCGTCACCCATCCCAGAAGCAAAAGCCCCAACGCTAATGGCTTCCGCCGTTTTAGCACCTTCTCCAAAACAGTCAAAGAAGCCACGTACTACTCCTGTCTCACTGAAGCCAGATGAAGTGTTGTCGACAGACGAGGAGCGAGAAGATATCACTAGTGTGACAATCCCCCCTGCACCTGGTAACTCTCAGGGCGACACGCCTTCAACTTCACCCAAGAGCAGAACTTCGCCTTCCAAAACAAATTCACCACAACAAATGCATACCTTCACCTGCGTTCAAACTCAGTTCTTCTGTCACAGGATTTTTGCTCGAGATTCGCGAAGGCGAAACGCCGAAGGTTACCCCTTGCTCGATTCCTATAGAGCTAATCAACCGTAACCCAAAGCAAACCTGCAGTGATGAAACTACACGTCCATCCTCAACACCCGTTCAACCACTTCTACTGAGATGTCAAGATTCAAACGCAGCCGTCATATGCCACTTCTGAACAAGTTAGTGGGAGACGAAAGACGACAACTCAACCAATCCAGCGTCACAAAAGGACGAATGCGAAGGTGCAAACAAATGATTTGCTGGAAGCAACCAAGAAATGTTCTAAACGCTACAGTCGTCAACTAAATGAGCTGACTGTGAAAGCAAGACGAGTACATCACCAGGGTGAGTTCCACGACAAACATTCCACTCGCCGCGAGAAGCAATCGCAGCCGATGGACAAGTCAGCATACGGACGCGGAAGGATGCCTGCCAAAGAGATTTCGTCTATAACTACGTCTTATGGAGCCCAATATTTGCAGACCGCACTCGAGCTTTCCGGATATGCAATGACATTCCATCCCCATGGCTCTCATCCTTACTACATGGCCTATGGAAGCAGCGAGTCGCAGTTCACTTGCGAAATCAATGATTCTCCACCTTGTGTGTCTCCAAGAATGGATCATTGCCGAAAACTGCGAGAGAAGTTTGGGATATTGCTACTCTATCCATGTTGACGAAGAATAATTGCTCGGAGCTCAATCAACCAGTGCTGCGACCACATCCATGCTCCCTCTGCACCCCCTTGACATCAATGACCCCTTTCATCGGATGCCTTCAAGTAACATCGGCTCTCTCGATCCCATATGTCTCATCCAGCAACCCCCACACGAATCCCCTGCTTTCAACGCCGTTTTTGGGACCAACTGCATCACACGCGTACCAAGCACCGAACAGCAATGATGCCAATGCGAACATCGATGAACATAGTGGTGGAGCTATTGGTAAAGCAGACGAGATGCGAAGCCGACAATAAGGAGCAAGCGACAGCGACAGACAGACAGAAAGAAGACGATCATCAAGCAGGCCCGGAGTGTCGAGAAACTCGACCGATATTTTTTAATCCGTATATTCTAAAATTCTATATATCTTACTTTGGAAGTGTTCAAGCGCAGCAGCTAGTCTTTTTTCCGCATGCCTCAGACTGCAGCTGCATGTATGAAAAAGGAGCGAGAAATTCGCAGCTGGTAATCTCCTCCTTACGATGAATCGCGCGTCACTGTTCATCGTTTGCTTCATGCAATTAGTCCTGCTTTCTAGATTTACATAGTATTATTGCCATAATCACATTGACTTTCAGTTCATTTAGGCCAAAAATATCAATCGTATTTTATTACTAACATTTGCCATAACCAGAATCTCATATTAAGCTGGTATTATATTTTGCGTGCAACATATCGTTTATTTGAATTTTATAATTGTTAATAAAGGTTTAATTACCCAAGTTTGAGGTATCTCCTCGTGCACAACTCCGTCACTCTAAAGACCCGCGTGGCAGTTGATATCTTGGTGGCTTTGTCTAGTGGTATTCGACGGTTATAGTACTGACTATATATATCACCCGTCTACATTCATTACAATAAACAAACAGTTGCGAAACTTAGTTGTCAACGACGCAGAATGGTAAACGCTCACCCGTAGTAGGAACAGACTCAGTGATAACTGAGTTTCAATCCTAGTTTGGTAGGACTATGAAATGCACTGTCAAAATCGCTTTGGGCAGTACTTTCGAAAAATTGAAGACAAGGTGGAGAGAGGCGAACATTATACGGCAAAGTTTTAACTTTTCCGCTCAAGGTTCCTCCAAAAGGCTCCTCCGAAAGCACACAAGAACATTTACACTCGATTAAAGTTAAACAGGGTACGAATTTCTAGGAATCGCAAATCAATTGAGCGTACTTTGAGTGCATTATCACTATTTGATGTGCTTTTCAATCTTTTCTGAGGGTTGCAAATAGGTCCAAAAACAGGCCAAAATTTCAAATCGATCTGCTCTAATTTTCAGCATGCTCCTTAGTGTCGAATAGATTTTCCGCTTAATATAATGTGCTTGCACAGAAGGCGATGCCGGTGAAATTTCCGCGTGAATAGATAGCCACGCAGTACTGTCGGCATTTTGCGCGCGCAATTGGCCGGCGTCACAGTCGAAGCTATTTGTTCACACACAAATTTTACCGCAGTTCACTTCTTGTGCAATCACACTGTATTAAGCGGAAAATCTACTAAATTGTAAGTAGCACCTTCTCTTTCTCACAATGCAATTTACTGGTTTAGCCTCTGTTCAGATTTCTGATGTCGCAAACTTCAAAAAACTTTGCTCAAAATCTTCTCTACTTTGTGCACCACGAAGAACGCTTGAGTAATCGCTGTTTGTAGAAATTCACAAATAATAACTTACAATTGCCAATTCATCGTCAGCCGGACTTACTAATCGAAGATTTTCAAAGTATTCAGCAAAACCTTCATTCAGCCAGAGTTCTTCCCACCAGGCCAGTGTTACCAGATTGCCAAACCACTGAAATGGGTTACAGCCATCGTTCTTCACAGTAAAAAATCGGAAATGTTGTCCATAATCTATTTTTTACTGGTACTTTTATTAGAAGTGGAAGGAAAGGCTTTTGCGATGAATTGTGTGTCATGTGCCATGCCAGTGGCGTACCCAGGATTTCCGTTTGGGGGGGGGCAACAAAAATCTTTTTCGGATCAAGGGGAGTAGCGTTAGCCGCCCTTCGAAAACTCTTTTGAAATGCTTCCCAAAATTTTCCTGGGCCCCTTACCCAAAAATTTCAGGAAAAGGTGGCGTGACAGCAGCCACGTGCCCTAAAAAAATTTTTTACACGTCTCTGAATTTTTAAAAAATTTCTAAAAATTGTATTAATTATTTACAAGTAAAAACAAATTCTTTGCACATTTTTATAGCATATTTAAGTAACTTTCAAAAACTTCGCGACCCACTCTAGGGGGGGGGGGGCTCCCCGCTCCCGCCCCCTCGGCACGCCACTGTGTCATGCATATGAAAGCACCTGTCGTAGAAGTTTTGCAAAAATGTTGTTTCGAGTAGATGCCGATCATGCAGCAATTGTAAACGGTCCTCGCAATAGCTGGTCAACCTTATAAAGTGCGCTTCATAATTATACGAACACCCCAAATTTTGAAAGTTTTCGGACTTTTTGGAAGAAACAAAAAGCCGGTATCACGTGATAGAACACAGCCGAAAACGGCATATGATCCATAAGAATGGAAATCGATGCCCATTCCAGGAGTGTTTTTGCGCCTAATGCGATTTTTTAGCGGTTCATAATTATACGAATACTTCAAACAAAGGTCCTGTTTTCATTCAAGATTGAAATCATTTAAGTCCAAATTTTTTGTAGACTTACGGTGACAAATTCTGACATATCTGCTACAAACTACCCAGTGCAGCTCAAAAAGAGGATCGCTACTTTTCAGATGGTTTTATAATAAATGCTTTTGGAGTGAATGCGCTCCAAAACCATACGTTCTTCTGTGGTTTACGCACTCTAATTAGCTTGTATCAAGGCTATGAGATGAATTAAGCTCTTTCGATACATACTTTGTTTGACGCTTGGAAAATCTATGCGTTTTTGTGCCGTTTTTCAACCAAGTTCCAACCTTGCCCGAGAGTTAGCACTATTTCGAGCCTCTTGATATGAAGCAGCTGCATTCTTTGCATGATGATGTAACCGTGCCAACGTTTTTGCGTTTTTTGTAGAACTGATCTTGAGGCTACTAAGCAACAATTCAAATGAAGTTGTGATTGCAATAGTATAAACAGTGGTTTTGGTGAAATGACGTCTGCGTGGCCAAAACAAACGCTCAACACTGCTGATTTTTGCTAGCCAAATACACAGTCTTGTGAACTTTTACATACTATGTGCATAATTCATTGCAGGGCATCCGAAGCTGAGTTTTGCAGCTAAAAATCGTGCTAACTTTAGAGCAAGGTTGGAATTTGGTTGAAAAACGGCACGAAAACGCATAGATTTTCCAAGCATCAAACAAAATATGTATCGAAAGAGCTTATTTTATCTCATAGCCAATGATACAAGCTAATTAGAGTGCGTAAACCACAGAAGAACGTGTTTTTGAGCGCATTCACTCCAAACGCATTTAAAGCCATCTGAAAAGTAGCGATCCTCTTTTTGAGCTGCACTGGGTCCAATGTGTAGCAGATATGTCAGAATTTGTTACTGTAACTCTACAAAAAATTTGAACTTAAATGGTTGCAATCTTGAATGAAAAATGGACCTTTGTTTGAACTGTTCGTAAAATTATGAACTGCTAAAAATTCGCGTTAGGCGCAAATACGCTCTTAAGATTAACATCCATTTCCATTAAGGATAATGTACCGTTTTCGAATGTGTTCTATCGCGCGGTATCAACGGCTTTTTGAGTTTTTTCCAAAAAGTCCGAAAACTTTCAAAATTTGGGGTGTTCGTATAATTACGAACCGCACTTTAGAGAAGGATGACAATATGAATAAACAGTGCATCCAATGCATCTTTTGCACGTAAGCGAAAAAAGAAGCATGGTATTATGCATTTAGAAGACTCGTGATTCATTAACTTATTTACTGGTCGCAGTAGGGTCGATTCTGAGAATTCAACAAATTTCCTTGTTTAATTCCCATTGAAGTGCATAGAGCCAGATGGAGAAGAATCGAATACTATCCTAATACTTCACTCCATGAAATTTCATATTTTTTGGCTCGCTTTTTGCTAAACGGTTAGAATATTGAAATTATAGTATTTGTCTTGGATATGATTGATATAATGATCTGTAGTAAAAACTGTAAGCAAACGAGAAGGTTTCTAGACAAAGAGGAGAAAGGGAATGAATGGGTAGTTTATCGAAACGACAAACATAGCCGGCATTGAACGCATGGATATGAATGCATTTTATTCCACGAATGGATAAAGTAATGTCAAGTATGAGAGTTTCAAACAAAAGGTATTTCAATGAAGTGGTGCTCAGATAATTGACATTGTGCCATTTGAGCAGCTTTGACGAAATTTTGTAAAACCACCATTCTATTTTTCAACGCTTATAACTCGGCGTCCAGAGGCGCTTGGCAGATAACGAAGACAGATTTGGAATGAGAGTTTGATGCCTGGCAAACTCGTGTTAACTTCATATGGAAAGGTCACATGACCAAATGGACCTCTCTTGTTAGTCTTAAAGTATAGGCCGCAAAACCTGGTGTGTAAGCTCATGAGTGACAACGCTTTCGATAGCCATATGCCTAATGTACTTGTTATCCAACAGATCTACAATATTGGGCGAAGCGTTTGGCACAGCAAGATCCAGTAGCAATTTTTTTCTAAAATATGGTAAAATCGATGCGATATTGTGAATGCCATCTAATGCAGGCTAACCTGAAGGTGATTAAGCCCCAGTTTTCCATTGCACCTGATCCAAAGTTTTCCAATGCAACCAAATCTGCAACAGTGAAAATCAGTACTCCCTTGATAGATTTGGGTACTTTTCCGTTATCTTCTCAAAGAAAGATATTGATTCTACCCTTGTGCCATATTTTGTTCCAGCTTCACAGGAATCAGTGTCAATCTTCTGCCACGTATCACTACACGTTTAACAGATTTTACCAGAAGTTTGTTTTACACAACTTTTGTTATCTAATAACAACGACGTACTATTTATCGATGAACAGATCAAACTTGCTCAGATAGAGAATTGGCTAGGATTCCGTCATTTAACAAGGGATCGATCCCAACTTAGGGTGGCGAACTGGTATAAACCGATTATTAGAAGCATCTTTATGAGCTGATTCCAAATCTATCTTCCGTATCTGCGATGCCTTCTCTGGAAAAATATGAGTGGTTAAAAATATAAAGTCACTAGCTGGCATACCCGGCTTCGCCCGGCCCTGTCAAAATGATAAAGATCCCATCCCTATCCCTGTGCAATCTTTCCTTCCTACTCCTACATGTCAATTCCCTATCCCCGTATTGTTGAAATCAGCGTGCCCACTTTTACCCCCCCCCCCTGTGTCGACTCTCGTCCCCGTAGCTCAAACGTTGCAAAAAATTGATGAAATCGTTAAAAGTAGTGGATAACTCCGAATACTAATATTTTATTCGTAATCAGCATGCTCGAGTCAGCATGCTGCCCCTGCGCCAACTCCCAGCCAGCAGGTGAACTCTGCAAAAAATCGATAAAATCGATAAAAGCAGTAAGTACTTCTAGAAACTAACATTGTATTCGTAATCAGCATGCTCGATTACTTCCCATGCAAACTCCCAGCCCCGCAGGTCAAAGTTTACAAAAAAATCGATAAAATCGATAATTCTGAAAACTAATATTGACACCCGCCGGGGGCCCGAGGTGTATGTGTGCCATGTTTGATCCGGATCGGTTCAGAAATGGAATCTTCTATTCGGAACATACGTACAGACAGACAAACAGACATTCAGCTTTATATATAAGTTTAGAGTTTCAATGCATAATGTGCTTTGAAGTTAACTCTAGAGTGCATGACTAGCACGCTATAGAGTGTACTGGTTTCAAGAAACGCTCCATTCATACGAAACACTAAAAAGTATTTTTGAACAACTAAACAACAAATAGAGTTGTTTGATTAAAGCTATGAGCAAGAAAAGTCCAAATTTGGCAAATATGCCGCGTCATACCTCAAGAATTAGTTGATCAAAAACAGTTCTTTGTGTTCCTATCAAATGTAAATATTCTTTGCAATCAGTACACTAAATACCATGCTAGTCATGCACTTTCAATCTAAATTTCAAAGCACATTATACATCAAAACCCCAATGTCTTCACACATTCAACTGCTCACAAGTTTTTCCAGAAAACGGCATCTTATAAGGAAAGCTATCTAACTTAGCTTTTAACTTTTGGTAAAAGGCATATATATTCTGAATCAGCTTCAAATGTTGATTCCAAATATGCTATCTCTAGCTGCCACGCACCATTCCAAAGCGAGTTTTGGGCTTTTTCCTATGCAAAATTGGCATACTAGTGAACATGGGAAGACTGCCTGTAGATAAAAATTTGCAAGAAAAAGGTGCTGAGGTACCGAAATAGTACAAATTCAATCTTTTCTCACTAAAAAAGCTTAACGCAAGCGTATCAGCACTTAAATGGTGATACGTGATGCCTGTGAGTCGATGAGCATGCCAGTTTTGCGCAAGAAAAAGCCCATAACTCGCTTCGCAATGGTGCGTGGCAGCTAGAGATAGCATATTTGCAATAAGCGTTTGAAGCTGATTCAGAATATATATGCCTTTTACCAAAAAGCCGAGCTAAGTTAGTTAGCTTCCTTATTAGATATAAAAGGTAGATTTGGAATCAGCTCATCAAGACGCATCTAATGGTGTGCGGCTCATTCCGGTTTGCCACCTTAAAGGCAGTGGCTCAGCAAATCCTCGACCTTTGGTTTTTTCGCTTACATGAGGTAATTCGATGCGCTGATTCCGGAAACTCATTTCTTAGAGCACGACAATGGCGAAAACCAGCATTTTCCAAGTCCCCTCATTTTAAATTTGGATGAGTAGAACATGGTTAGAGACGCAGAGTCGTTGTGGGACTCTTCACATTTATGACGGCGTGTGGAATTCGCGAGCTCGTCCGAGCGCGTGTAAGAATGGCTCGCGCGCACGGGTTAAGGAGCAAATTTCTAGGCAGGAGTTGCATGCTGTGCGCTCGGACCTGCTCCATTCGTGTTTGGGGTGCAAGCAACCTTCCATATTGAAATTTCGAGGTGTTTGATTTTGCCGAGCCACTGCCTTCAAGTTGGGATCCTTCCCTTGTGAAAACGAACTAAGCAGCAGCAAGGCACTTCAAGCTATCACCTATATCTCGGCTAGATTCGCATGGCGAAAAGTTTGAAGAGAAATACATTTCTAAAATACTGCTGAAAGTAAGCAAAATGTTCAGAATAAGTCCATGATTTTTTTGTGCCTATGTAAAACAGTTGAACAGTTGAAAGATAATCACAAATTCTCCTTTATCTCACCGAAAATGAATTCGAAAAAAAAAACACGTCAAAATGGACCGAGGTGTCACTTTTTGCGTGACATTTGGCAAGGAGGCAATCCTCGTAGTCCATTGAAAATTTTTCTTAGACTAAAGAACGTATAATATGAGCCTTTTGAAAAATGGGTCCGCATAACGGAAAAATACCTAAGTCTGCATAGTTTGCACCATTGTTGTGTTGTAGCGGTGTAGAATTACTAGTAGCTAGCAGCGTTTTTCTTATGAATAGTTGTGTAGTACAGTCAATAGCTTATTGGAAAATACTTTACATGTTCCCGAAGATTGAAAAAATAAGCGTCGTTTCAAAATTTAGCTATTGTGAGAGGACGCTTATTATTGTAGCACTTTTGGAAGTGGTTGAACATTGTGATAGTTTCGAAGCTTTGAGCAGTCTTCAGCATAGTTTCATAAAAGTTTTTATGCCTAAGATGAAGGAATACAGTTTTGAAAATTGCGAGTTTATATGAGAGCGTTATATATTACGTCATTTCATAAGTTCGCATAGCATTTATAAATCAACAAAATGACAATTCTAAAAGAAATTAGTTCTTGGTTCTGATGGGACGTACCTTTGAACATGCAGTGAGTTTTTCTGTGCGACAAAACGTGACTTCAGACAATAAACATCGCATAGCTTTGTTCTTGGTTAAACCCCTCCTGCCATTTTGCTGTCAGATTTTCAGCCAGATAATAAACTTTCGACGATCTTGTCCCAGAAAAGTAGTCTAACCAGTGCCTGAGATTGCCTTCAGCAAAGCAGACGCCATTCTATGATTTACACTAAACTGGAACACATGGAAGCAACTGGAACAAATAACCTGCTAGATCGAATGGAATCGCGTTGAATGCTATACTCCCGGTCATTCTTGCAGCAAAGCTATGACGATGTTTATTGTCTGAAGTCACGTTTTGTCGCACAGAAAAACTCACTGCATGTTTAAAGGTACCGTCCCATCAGACTGGGGGTTCCTGGCTCTCGTAATGATGTAATAGTAGACCCCCTACCTAAGCGATGACTGAAGTCCGGAGCGAAAATGGGGTCTACCAAGCCTGAAATTTGCTCCGAAAGTGGGCCGAATCTTACGGTAGACCTGGACGTTGCCCACACGGCATATATTTGCAGGGCCAGAGTGCGTATGGCGCATACATCATGAGCGCAGGGACCCGCAACGACTCTGCGTCTCTACCTTGCATGCACTTCTCACTCGCCCGATCCTACCGTAAGATTTGGCCCACTTTAGGAGCAAATTTCAGGCTTGGTAAACCCCCTTTTTCGCTTCGAACTTCAGTCATCGGGGGGAGGGGTGTACTATTACATCATTACGAGAGCCAGATACCCCCAGTCTGGTGGGACACTGCCTTCAAGGGCCTTTCATGCGGGATTCGTTTAGATGGTGCTGTTGACATGCATATTATATAAGATCCGTTCTGTTATTGTCCAACAATTTTTTAGTACAAAATTTCTAACGTCCTATAAAAAGTCTTGTTCAGAAAACATCCTGTGAACTGCTACAAAGAACCATGCATAGAAAACACCCTGTTCTAGTCTTTAACGCAATCCAATCCTTTTTTGTCTCATATTGAAGGGAATATGCCGTTTTCCATAATTTGTTGAGAAATCGCGCGGAACGATTCTTAATAAGAAAAGGGAGGTGTCAAATTTAGTTCTTTTTGCCTCTTGAGATATTTGCCTCTAAAAGCTGAGGATTCAAGGCAGAACAGCTTTTCATCAAAATCAAGTAATATGTTCTAAAGAGTATTATCAGCTTTTCTCAATGGCTCACGACCTTGCCGCAAACCAACCACTCCTCAAAGAAATGAGAATGAGTATGAAAACTCTACGGACTTAAGAAACAACGTAAGAGTATACGGGCTGCATTTCCGGTCCGATTTCGATTAATCGACCAAGTGTTTTATGCCGCTGGGTGACTCTGCCATTATTGTTTTTTTTTGAATTGGGTCATTGTAAGGAATCTTAGTGCCTTTTTCCGATTCAATCAATTTCTCATCTTTCCTGCGTATCTCACTTTGCTGCATTATATCCTATCCAATGCCTCCAAAAACCGCCAGATCACAGCGAAAAAATTAGAGATCTGAGGAGACATCTCCTCAACCTCAAAACGCTATTGATCCTACCCTATCGCAGCTTTCATTCACATCTGCATTGGAGGCCCTAGGTGATCCTTACCCTACCTCAACCCTCCAACATCCCTTCAAGAAACTTTTCGACTTAAACATACCTGAGATGAGTGAGATCACAAGTGAGATATTAGTGCACTTGGGTGAGCTGGGAGAATGAATTATAGAGAGGGGGCAAGAATGAAAAGCATCGTCATTTCGGGTTTCCCAGAACTGGACTGCCGTGATGGGCGTGTTGAACAGTTAGTTTCAGCACGTCAGAAAGATACTGGATCCAAGGAACGTGATAT